TATGAATTGATATTGTCATCTCTATTTAGTCTTTTCTTGAAATGATCAACCTCATAGTAATCGGGATGAGGTATATGATCTACGGAATCATCTGAAATATAGTCATCTAGTCTCCCTGTTCGTGCATTCAAATCTCCCATTATAATCACATCTCCATTTAGTGAATGATGAATTATTTCTTTCTCCAATTCTTCGAAAGTATTATTAGTTTTTTTCTCTGAATATAGACTAGTTTTCTGGTTGTAAATACGCAACACAAATATAAACTTAACCCTGATCACATCATTCATTGTTGTTTTTAACTTATTTATACAATGTTTATATTTATGTTTGAAAAACAGTGCTACACCACCTCAATTTCGTCTTGCTAATTTACTTCTATTTCTATCACTACGTATATAACTAAACTCTGCTAAAGAAAAGTCATCTACTGAATCTAAAATCATAGGGATTAATAGTGTTCTAAAAATCACTATAATGGATTTTTTGTTTAATACCTTGAATGTTCCATGTCATAAATGACAATGCATTCTCTGTCGTTTTAGCAATATTGCTTGTTATGCACATTATGTGTTTAGATTTGGCTTAGCTCTACTTGTAATTGGCATTTATTAGCTCATTCTACACAATTATATAAAACTCTTTAAAAAGTCAATTAATTTATGTGCTAACTGGCCATCATTGCTCCGTCTAGGGTCATTGAGTATACTGTTATACACTGGCGGCTGCTGGTTCGTCTCTTGCTGTCTGTTTGCAGGTTGATATTTTCTTGTGGTATTTTTGTTTCTTACATAATGGTGTATGTTGTAACCTCTGTAGATTAGCTGACTGACTGGCTGGATGTCTGTCTCTGTGTTGATAGTGTGATCTGTTTTTGGTATCCTTTCCCCTCATCGACCTGTTCATATCTGCTACTAATAGTTTGACACCATCAGTATTGATATGAATCCCATCATCAGCAAATAAATGTTTGCTGAGTGATAGTTTATGATGGACTATGAATACACTGTCTTCTTTGTGACAGTAATCTTTCACTTCATCATTTATGTGCTTGATATCATTATTGATACCATCATTTCCTCCTCTTGGTAGAATTGCTGATGTTCCTATTCTTGCTTTGGGAAATCTTTTTCCAGTGCTGACTATTATGTATTCACAATTATGATTGCCTAAATCATTGGTGCCCACATGACACACCACAGATATCACCTGAGTATCATCAAATATGAAATAAACAATATTGATAGTGTAATCTGTAATAGTTTTTTATACATATATCATGTTCACTATATGTTCATGTTCTCACTTGCAATTGCAATCATTGCATTAAAAATACAAAATGCTATTAAAGCATAATACATTTGCATTACATCAACATTGGCATAGGTTGTAGCTACGACAGCTATGTTTTATTTCAGTCAGTATATGTTCTACCATTTACTTTATATTTAGATTTTGTTGACAGGCATGGACACTACTACATTTTATAATTACGTGATTAAATATACATACATCCATTTATTGAATTATTATTTCACTGCTATGAAATGAAAAAAAATCATTTTTATTTACTGTTATTATTAAAGAGTATTAAATACGTATCAATTGTGACATCAAGTGATAATAAACACTACGATAAAGACTTTCCGTTTTCGACATTGTGAAATTCTTTTGTTTTTTTGGGAAAAAACCCTGAAAAAACTGATTTTGACAAGATAATTCAGGAAATGTATTAAGAATAAATTATAACGAAATGAATTCCCTATGCATTCATCAATAATTTTCATAATTACTGATTACACAAGGAAATTACAGAAAAAAACGATTATTTGCTATATTCTCCGTATGAGTGCATACTTTGTAGTATTCTCGTAATAACCTTACTATTTTACATTTTTTTCTTCCAGGAACACATCAAGGACATGTCGAAGTCCACAAACGTTAAAACAGATTTAGCGAACTTCTTGTGTGGGTCCCGTCAAACCCTGGTGGAAGCCATGTTTTTTTTTATATAATTACAGGACACTTACGCTCGTAATCGTTCCATATTTGGAATTCGCGTTTCTTAATATGGTAGGATGAAAATACCCAGTGCAATAAGAGCTTTCCAGAGGACAAAACAGCTCCGTAGATACCGGGCCTTACACACAAATGTTACAATGGCAGGTCCATATACTGCATGTGATCGTTACTATAATATAGACTTTGAACCACAACATTATTTTATGCAGTTTATATTGCTAACTGAATGCACGTATTACCGACATATTCCACTTGTACAACTGTTACATTTCCCAGTGTACTTTCATGAATAACAAATCCAGAATAATGTATTTGTTTGGATTAGCCGACCTTTTATTTAGAATTTTATTGAATTGGCAAATCCTTTTCCGGCTGGCAATGGCTGATTGACAATTACACTGACGGCAGATTTGTCACGCTACCAGCCTTTCCTTTTATCTTGTATTAGGCTTTGTGGTAAAATCTATTAGGAAGTATTCACGTGACTGGTGTTTTGTGCTAGTATCATGTTTACTAGTATGGTAGAAATGTCGCTGATTTTCTGTTTAGTTTTTGCCAAGTTTACTTAATGTCTGTATAAATTACGACCCACCACGAGTCTTTGTTGTATTTGACAACCTAGGTTGCAATCGCATTAGTTGTGTTGATTGCTGGGGTTGATTCTACACAAAAACGCCCGCCATTGGTGGGCTCGCTACGGCGTCAAACTGAATAACATTAGCGTAATTTCGAAACAAATTCCGAGAAAATTATAGCTTGGTTGTGGATATGGTCAGGTTAGATAGGGTCGCAACACAGAGGTAAATTGTATAGCAGACATCAAAGTGCTCCAAGGTCGAACGTCTGTTGCAAATTTCTTTGTTATCCATTGTCAGGCATTCTTTGTATCCATACATATCACATGGTGACGCAACAATTCGAAATCAAATTAATCTGTTTATATGTGTGACAATATACTAGTACCATTTATGTGACTAATATATTCACGACGAGAATTCAAAAACTCGCCCACATTAAGAGCGTAAATACATTCGTCACATAGAATACTGCAGATTTGATAAGATTGGCCATTTAAATAAGAGTAAATTAAAAAAAAAATGAAAATTATTATTGTTGAAATATGAACAGAGGAAATATTGCTTATTTGACTGTAATGATAAGTTACATTATGCAAAGGAACATGTAGGTCATACTATAACACCTCCCCCGCCCACTCCTTGACAAATACTAGAAATTAGACTGTTGACAGTTCTCGAGCCAATGTAATTGTGTTTACTAGACATTCGAAGGAGTTTGATGGGAAATGCGAAACATTTTACGCAAGGGACTTTAGTCCCCAGAGTCGGTCGTGCGCAAGGGCACTCAATATTTTCTGTCCCTGTCATGTATACGAGATACGAACAATTTTGACTATGTTGCCTAGTGAGCAATCCATCCATCAATCAGTAAGACCACGACTTGGTTAAATAACATTGAAAGAATAACTTTAATTAATCGAGAAGAAAATGGGATTAAATACAATCTGTTTACAAATTTAGGACTTTCTGCCTATTAGTGAAATATTAGGCTGCTAGCTCAAACGTAAATTGCAGAGAAAATTGCAGAAAGTGATTTCAGAATTGATTTAGCCTTTGAATAGAAAGATACTGGAATGGGCAGAGCTCCAGAAGGACTACCTACACTTTATGCAAATTTTTTAAAATTATGCTAATTTATTCATGACGTAGCAGTTTCTGTGCTCATGAATATTCATTAATTTGTGGGTCATTACATTTTAAAAGGGGCGATATATTATTTTTGGGGGAAGAGTTAGAAAGGGGGGATTAGCAATCCTTAGGGGGTCAATACAAAAGAAGGGACCCATTTGG